CTCCCTCCCGGAAAACGCGCCCGGCCCGCCGCTCACGGCCCCACAGCCGGGAGGGCCCACCCGGCACAGACAGATGACGCAGGTCTCGGAGGGGCCGGAAGTCCCGCCCCCACCACGCGGGCCGCAGGAAACACCCCTGTCCTGTGACGTCATTAGCCCGGCTTCGGCGCAGACGCGCGGCGCTCAGCCTTCTGGGTAATGTAGATTTTTCTCGACAACCAACCAGGTGTGTAGGACCTTCTAAGACGGTCTTCTCCCACCTGAGAGCGCAGGAGGTTCCGGAAGCTGCTTCGGACTCGCCTCTTCACAGTGGACACCACCCCGGGGAACCAAGGAGAAAGGACGAGACCAACCCTGTCCACGCCTGGTGAAGCGGAGGCTCAGGAGGCGGACCTCAGCCTGGGGTCAGGGCCAAGAGCAACTGTTGCTGAAAGATCATCCATCCCTGACTAGCCGAGTAACTCAGAGACAAGGCCTTGGAGCTTAGAAGAAAAGAGGCAGCGTTATTGCTTTGCTGGGCAAAGGGGACTCAGCAGGCAGGTGCCTTCAAAACTGTGAACCCAATTAGGGTTGGGCTTAGTGATTATATAGTGAGCAAATTGGGGCGTAAAAGAGGATATTAATTAACCAAAGTCTCTGGTAAATCTTCCTCCGAAATCTTAGTGTGTCTCCCTGCTGTCATGGGCTGTCTGGTGGTCTGGAGGGTTTAGCAGCCCATGATCTCTATCTGATCAGATGCATCAAGTGCCAGGAGGAACTTTGGAGGGTCTGGTCATTCTCCTGAGATTAATGTCCTGTGACTCCCTTCCTGGGGGAATGACTCAAAATCCAAACATGACTGTAAATTTCAATTACCAGAGTGAGGTAAAACAAACAGGGAAGTCACTAGCTTGCTGACCCTTTTAAAAGCAAAAGCAAACAGTAAGTATATGGCCAAGAAGTAGTTAGCCTAAGTGTGGCCATTTTATCATTTCTCCTTCCCAATGGCGCAGAGCCTGATCTGCGGCCGGGCTTGGTCCCTGGCACCTCCCTGTGCGCCTTCGCTCCTCTCCAGCCTTCTCACAGCGGTTGCGGATAAACGAGCAAAGTCACCACCAAAAGGAGGAAGCCAGAAGTCCCGCAGTGACGTTTTAGGAATGCACCAGCCCGAAACTCCTGGGCCTTCTTAGGTCCAGCACCACCTCCAAGTGAAGAATAGACTTTTGAGTGATGGACTTGTCCCCGAACATCAGAGAGTGGTTTGCCATCCCCTGAGGTGGGTAGACTGCAATTGGGGTGGCTTGGAGGCAAGCTCAGGACTCCAGTTTTGGCGTGGTCAGTTTGAAATAACTGTAAGACCACGAAGCGCATCCCCATATGCACTTTACAGCAAATCTAAAATTGTTTTAAAAATAAAAATTTAAAACAAAAAGAGCAAGGAGGGACTTCTGGATGGATAACATGAGGAGTCCTGTGGGCTCATTTCCCACCCAAACTGGTGAAAACTATTTTTTAAAAAATCAAAAAGACAATGTCTCTGAAAATGTTCCCAAAGATGTATAGCAAATGGAGAACATTTATTCAAGATGATCTGCTACAATTTTGTAAGAATAGAGATTTTGCATCATTTAAATGGAGACACTCACTCTCCCTCAAACTGTCCCAATTCAGCAAGATAGAAA